TGCAGAGTCTGGTCTTAATCCATAAAGGGCATAAATCACCTAACATACCTAAATCACAATGGATATGGATTAACACGTGACATATGACATATTGACACCTTGACATATGGATTGACACCTGTCCTCAGAGACCCTGATACACACTGACACAGAGCAGAATAGGAACTGTTCCCCCTACATAGAGTCACTTGGCAGATATGGTTTGACACCTATCCGAAGGATCCCTGATACACACTGACACAGAGCAGAATAGGGACTGTTCCCCCTACATAGGGTCACTTGGCAGATATGGATTGACACCTATCGTAAGGAACCCTGATACACACTGACACAGAGCAGAATAGAGACTGTTCCCCTACATAGGGTCACTTGGCAGATATGGATTGACACCTATCCTCAGGGTCCCTTTTACACTCTGACACAGAGCGGAATAGGGACTGTTCCCCCTACATAGGGTCACTTGGCAGATATGGATTGACACCTATCCTCAGGATCCCTGATACACACTGACACAGAGCAGAATAGGGACTATTCCCCCTACATAGGGTCACTTGGCAGATATGGATTGACACCTATCCTCAGGATCCCTGATACACACTGACACAGAGCAGACTAGGGACTGTTCCCCCTACATAGGGTCACTTGGCAGATATGGATTGACACCTATCCTAAGGATGCCTGATAAACACTGACACAGAGCAGAATAGGGAATATTCACTAAATGCCAAACATTGTTATACAGGGGAATATTCAGTAAATAAGGATAAGGGGGGACCTACTGTTCTCCCCCCCACCCCCCGGCCCCCACCCCTGCATGGTGGGAGTGGGCCATAAATCTCAATGGGGGGGGACCTACTGTCCTCCTGCCCGCCCCCACCCGTGAGCGGTGGGTGGGGGCCATAAAAATAATGAGGGGGGGGACCTACTGTATGATGTATCGATCAGGTAGTGTAAGGGTTACGCCCGCTTCACAGTGACAGACCAAACTCCCCGTTTAACGCACCGCAAACAACCGCAAACAGTCCATTTGCACAACCGCAAACTCCACATTTGCACAAGGTTGGATACCAAGCTAGCCATGTCCCGTTCCTTGTCCTCACTGATGTCATTGAAGGTCTCTTCCTCCACCCAGCCACGTACAACACCAAGGGTCCCCAAAAGGTGACAACAAAGCCCCTGGGACGCCTGCTCTGTTTGGTCTTCCACCTCCTCAAAGCCACCTTCCTCCTCTGACTCCTCTTCTTCAGACTCCTCTCTCTGCGTTGCCTCTCTCTGCGTTATTATAAGGTGTGTTAAGTAGTATTATTCTTATCAGTTTAATCCCTGTTATGTGCCTTTTTTTGGTTTGGTTCTTGAAACCACAGTGCAGCACCAGAGGCCCGAAAAATTAGGCATGTACACATGCCTGAAAAATTAGGTATTGTTGCAGCCGCTGCTGTAGCAGTGGCCAGAAGAATTGATGTTTGTTCCCCAGACAGAAAGTGCCCTAAAACAGTGTTCCCCAACCCCCAGGCCGCGGACCGGTACGTGGATGAAACGGTACCGGGCCGCCCGAGGAACTTTAATTTCACTGTGGCGGCTGAGGCGCAGAGCATTGTGCCCTCCCGAGCCCGCCCATTGTGTGACAATAGCGAATTAAAATTCCCTATTGTTACACTGATCCTCCTCCTGGGTCCTCCCGCTTCCTGATTGGCCGTAAGGCAAACCCCACGCCATTGGCCGAACTCAATCTGGGCCTTCAGGGGAAAATGACAACTGTTTTCAAGTTGTCAGACAAAGTAGCTGCATTTAATGCCAAACTGGTGTTGTGGGGACGGCGCGTGAACAGAGGCATTTTGGATATGTTTCAGACATTAGCGGGGATTTTAGGCGAGACTGAGCTTGAACATTCATTCTGCCAGTTGGTGCACGATCCCCTGTCTTTTCTTTTAAAAGAGTTTGAGCGCTACTTCCCAACCACAAAAGACCCACGAACTGGTAAGGAATGGATCCGCGACCCATTTGCCAACAAATCAGGCAAATCTAGCATGTCTATGCAAGAAGAACAACTGCTGGAGATTGCAAATGACGGTGGCCTTAAAACTATGTTCGAGACAACAACTCTGCCGGTGTTCTGGATTAAAGTCATGGCGGAATACCCTGAGATTGCCACCACAGCACTTAAATCCCTATTTCCATTTCGGACAACCTATCTGTGTGAAGCGGGGTTTTCTGCAGTGACAGCAACCAAAACAAAACAGCGGAATAAACTGGACATAAGCAATACACTGCGGGTGTCATTGTCTCCTATTACCCCTAGATGGAACCGTCTCGTTGCGAAGAAACAAGCTCAAGGTTCTCATTGATTTGGCATTCTAGTGAGTTAAATAAAATAAATCACTTTATATTCATTTTTTGGTGTAGCTGTATTTTATTTTGAAGGCATGTTTAAATACAATTAAATTAAAATTATTAAATCAAAACAAGCGGGCCACGGAAAAATTATCAAACGTTTATCGGTCCGCGGCGATAAAAAGGTTGAGGAGCACTGCCCTAAAACATTGCAGCTTGAACCCTAGTTGGTGGCGGATAAGTCACGCAAGTCAACCGGCATTCAGAGCTAAAATACAGCAGCGTGTGGACCATTTTTAGCCCAAGGCAGCTCATCTCATCAGGCCTTTTTTAGTCGAATGTATCGCCCACTGTCAGTCCCGTCGGGATCCATCCCTCATTCATCTTAATAAAGGCGAGGTAATCTAGACTTTTTTGACTACCTGTCGGTCGAGTCGTTCTCTGAGGGTGGATCCCGAAGGGCTGTGGCGATGCGTAAGACTTAAAAAGCTCCGCATGTCCTCCATCAACAACACGTCTGTAAAGCGTCCTGTCCTTGCCGGCGTGGTCGTTGGAGGAGGAGGATTACTTTCACCTCTTCCCCTGTTAGATTCCCGTTTCACTCTCTTTAGTTGTCTTCAAGCGGGTGTGTCAGGCCTACAGCGTGTACTCTGCCAGTTCACAGTGCCACTCATATCTGGTGTCATAATAGCTTGCATTTAAAAACAAAAAACTTTTCTCACTGTTATAGAATGAATAGCAGTTAGTTGTCTTCAAGCGGTTGTGTCAGGCCTACAGCGTGTACTCTGCCAAACTCTGCCAGTTCACAGTGCCACTCATATCTGGTGTCACAGTAGCTTGCACGCATAGTACCACTAATCGGAAAAAAAATGACAGGCAGAGGCAGGCCACCCCGCAGGGGCCGTCTTGGTCGTGGTGCTGTGATTCCCTTTTGCCCTAGAATAATGCCCAGTTTTCAGAGGCAAGGTACCCTGAACTTGAAAAGTTCTCAGGACGTAGTTGACTGGCTAACACAGGACACCCAATCTTCTACAGTTTCTGCTCGGAACCTTGACTTGGGTAGGAGACCACAAGATTTATGGGGTTTTGTGTGTTTTTAAGGTACTTTTTGGGGTTTCATAAAATGGTATGTTTTATTTCTGTGCTTGGAGATAATTAGGTTAGATTAGTACAGGTCCTGATTCAATTATCTCCCAAGCACAGAGGAGGGATTCTATTGTTTGTGTATGGGAGTGTCTCACTGTATGACTGTTTTATTGGTTGTTCACTTTGTGTCCCTGTGCCCAACAAGGTCCACCTGGGTGTCGCTCTTGTTGGAAAACTTGCATCAAAGGCCAGTGTGCCTCCATTAAATTCTATTCCAGCTTACACTCCAAAACTGTGTGTCGTCCTGTTATTGGAGGGAAAGAAGATTTACTCCTGTGTCTGCTGTTCCAGGGGATTCAACTGGGAAAGTCCTTGTAAGGACTAGCGCTCCCAGGACTGAGTGTCGTCCAGTGCCTGAGGGTGTCTAGAGCTAATTCCCCATTCAGCTCCAGGAAGGAGCAGTTCCAAGGCCCCAGTCAAGCCACGGCGAGTAAGGGCCAGAGTGCTGTGGTGTGTCCCCTGTTCCAGCTAGGAAGCGGTCCTTGGTGGAGGTAACCAGGGGTACAGGGAGCTCCGCTGCAACATGGATGGACATGTGTATATATATATATATATATATATATATATATATATATATATATATATCTATCACTTGTCAAGGATATATTTTAATCTATATATATAGATCTATATATATATATATATATATCTATACACACACACACACACACATACATACACATACCTAATAGGAGATTTATTCAAGGGGAGCAATTTAAAAGCGTTCCAAGGACTACAGGTGATAAATATTTATTTAAAGAAGGAATTTTTAAGCTAACTAAAAATAATAAATCTGATCTAAAAACCACATAATTAGTATAAATGTTTTAGACGATATCCTCAAGATAGACGATAAAAATATCGTTCCTCATATTGGAAATTAATTACATCTTGTATGATTTTAAGCCTAAGGGGAAAACAAAGAGTATCATCAAATGGGAACAAGAAATTATGCTTCTTTTCCCTGAGGAAAACTGGTCCAAGGCATTTAAGGTGACAAAAAAACAAATATCCATAATATTCATATACAAGAGAATGTCATTAAGATACTACATAGATGGTACTTAGTACCTGATAAGATATCTAAATTTCAAATCAATATACAAAACATTTGTTGGAGATGGTGGGACTTCAATAAGCTATCTTCTTGAAAAAAAATTAACTGGTGAATGTTCGGGCACAAGTAAATTATCAGAAATTAATGAAAAGAGCAATTAATGTAAATTGTAACAACTTATATTTGTATAATAAGATATGGAATCCTTGGGACACAAGAGACATTTTATCAGAGTCGTAGGCTACCTCCTCATTTTTATATTTCCTTGAATGCAGCTTCTGTATGTTTGGAGTATTCATGTAGTTGTATGGAAGCCTACGTACATAACATAATAAGCATTGGATTCTTCACAATCTTTTAGTATGTAAGCTGGCGGGTTGTGGACTTGTATTTATCATAATTATCAATTTACTCACAAAGTAATAACCTGAATGAATGAAGAGTGTACACCATATGGACATATTAGCTTTATTTAGCTATAAAAATACAAGATAAATAGACAGACAAATAGAAAGTAACAAAAATGATATTGATATTCATACCCATAGCAGCATAAATCTGCTTTCAGGCAACGTGGCACAAGATTAACACTGTTAAAAAAATAAAAATAAATACAAGATTTGTGCTGCTTGATTGCTGCTGAAAAAGAAAAACAACCAAAAAGTCTAGTGTTTTAAATAACTCCTTTAACTAAATACACAGCAGTTATGTATTCATGTAAATAAAGCCCTTTGCAGCCAGATGTGCAACTCCAACTCTGTATCATTAGCGAGAGTTCTGGGCTGGCAAATATCAATTTTGTTCATATTCTGAGTCATTTGTCAGCACCCATAACATGCTGGCAACAACTGACCAATGGCAGAGCCAATGGCTCCATGCTTCACTCAATTCTACACTAAAAAAGGATAGGTCTGAGGTAGAAGGTGGCCTTGGTTCAGAGACAGAAAGGTGATTTTTTTACATACCAGCAAGGATTACTCTATGCACAGTTACTCTTTAATGTTTTAATCCAGTATGGGATTTCTGATGTCTAATAAAAAGTACTTTAGATGAATAACCTTTAGGACACTCGGTACATGTAAATCTTTTAATTTGTATATGCATGTTTTTATGTGCTCTAAGTGCAGAACTACTAATATAAGCTTTTCCACACTCATAACACACAAATGGTTTCTCTCCTGTGTGGCGTCTGCAATGAGAATCCAGACTACCTTTCATACTAAAACTTTTCCCACATTCAGAACAATTAAATGGCTTAACACCAGTGTGAACCCTCTGGTGTCCAACCAGATGTGTGTTCCTTGCAAAACACCTTCCACATTCAGTGCAAACATATGGCTTCTCTCCTGTGTGATGTCTTTTATGCAAAGCAAGATGTCCACTCTGGGTAAAACATTTGTCACACTCAGAACATGCAAATGGTTTTACACCAGTATGAATTCTCTGGTGCTTTTCAAGAGCTGACTGATATGAAAAACATTTCTCACATTCAGAACACACAAATATTTTCTCCTTTGTGTGAAGCATCTTGTGCTTGACAAGTTTACTGACAGTGGCAAAAGATTTGCCACACCATTGACAAATATTTTGAGAATCACTCTGTGTTCTATTAACTTTGTTGGTTAGGTCAGAATCCACATCTGAAATTTCATGATTAATATAATTTTCATCTTGAGATTTTCTTGATACATCCCCAAGGGTATTAGCAGTCACAAGTTGATCTGTTAGAAAAAAAAAATTGATTTTAAAAACATATTCAAAACATTTCAATAATCACAGGAAGATAATAAAATAGGGCTTGATAAATTCATTAGAATTTAGGTCTGCTCTTTCTCTAACACACCCAATTAACTACACTCACAATCATGAGCTTTAGAAATGTGATGTGAAACACAGTTTAGTAGCCTCCATGCAGATAGAACTCAAAATATATCAAACTCTCTGGTTATTTGGAAATCTATAGGGAAAGGGCCTTTGAAGTAGATTTCAAAGCTATTTGGGTACAACATTAGAGTTTAGCAGACACCTGGATGTTCGGGTTCACCAAGTTCGGCCGAACTTCATCAAAAAGTTCGAGTTCGGGCTCGAACTTGACCCCGAACCCCATTGAAGTCAATGGGGACACGAACTTTTGGGCACTAAAATGCCTCTAAAAAAGTCCTGGAAAGGGCTAGAGGGCTGCAAAAGAGTTGGAAAAGTGCCATGCAAACAAATGTGGATAGGGAAATCACTTAAAATAACATAAAATACATAAAAATTAAAAATACAGCTGAGCCATAAAATAGCACTAGATGGAATCTTTGATTTTAGCTTTGGAAGAACATAAATCAAAATCTAAAGCATGGCTGTCAGGAGGATCACCAGAATTATCAATTTGAGAGAGGGTTGGAGTGCAGGGTATTCTCTTTCATTGTTCAAGCTGAGCTCAACTCCTGATGTATGGAGAAAAGGCCTTCACAAGCCTCTGCTATTGTGTACATAATTTATACTAAGTGACCCAAAGGTTGAGGAGGCGGTGACCGTGGCGGTGTAGGTGGAAGAGGAGGTATTCAACACTGTTTGTTTTGTTTTTTGTTTTTTAATTGAGGTAGCCCCCAAAACATTGGGACATATAAAAAAAGAAACATTTGCAGCCTGCGGTGCATTTCTTGCAGTCCAATAATGCCATCAGGATTTTAAAACTGTCCGTCTCCACCAGACGGAATGACAGCATTTCAAAGACCAGGAATTTTGAAATGCTGGCATTCAGGGCCAGGGATCATGGGTGGGTAGGGGGGTACTTCCTCTTTCTCTCCAGTGTTTGGGAGATGCCCAGCTAAACGCTTCCATGCTTGGGGACGGTGGCGGACATGGTGGTGTTGCTGCCACAGCCTCTCTTTGCGGGGTGGCAGGTGTCACTGTCACTCCAGAGGTGGAGGAAGAGGCAGAGACAGCAGCAGAAGAGGAAGCAGGACTCGTGTTTTGCATGCAGATGCCTGGTCATGCAGGTTTTGCTCAGGTTTAGAAATTTTATGCCTCGCTTCAGGCTCTGATTGCACAGCGTGCAAACCACTCTTGTCGTCAGCACATTGTCTGAAGAACTGCCACGCCAGGGAATTCCTTGGAGCTGGCTTTGGTGTGCTCAGTCCCTGGGTGCAGTGGGCAGTAGCAGGCATACTGTCTAGGGGACGGCTGCTCTGCTTTTACACCCTGCTCTAGGAGGAGGAGGTGGATGTGGAGACGGTGACCATGGCGGTGTAGGTGGAAGTGGCGGTGGAGGAAGTAGCCAACACTGTTTATTTTATATAATTGGGGTAGCCCCCAAAATATTGGTACATATAAAAAAAGAAACATTTGCGGCCTGCGGTGCATTTTTGCAGTCCAATAATGTCATCAGGATTTTAAAATTGTCCGTCTCCACTAGACGGAATGACAGCATTTCAAAGGCCAGGAATTTTGAAATGCTGGCATTCAGGGCCAGGGATCGCGAGTTGGTAGGCGGGTTCTTCCTCTTTCTCTCCCGTGTTTGGGAGATGGACAGTTGAACGCTTCCATGGGACAGTGTGGAGATGCTGGACAATTGTGTACCTGGCCTATGCTGGTGCAGGAACCACTCCGAGCCACTTGTGAATGACTGGCCTGATAACCGTGGAAAAGACCCCTCTTCCTCCTCCTCCTCTTCCTCCTGTGCCACATCCTCTTCCATCATCGCCCAAAGCTTTTTTTCAAGGAGACATAGAAGCAGGATAGCAAGGCTGAGAACGGCATCATCGGCACGGGCCATGTTGGTGGAGTACTCGAAACAGCGCAACATGGCACACAGGTCTCGCATGGAGGCCCACTCATTGGTGAAGTGGTGCTGTTACGCAGAGCGACTGACCCGTGCGTGCTGCATCTGAAACTGCTCGCACAGTCTCTCCAGCATGTGCAAGGTGGAGTTCCACCTTGTGGGCACATTGCATATGAGGCGGTGAGTGGGAAGGCCAAAGTTACGCTGCAGCGCAGACAGGCGAGCTTTGATATATCTGGGTAGTTTTTCAGTAATTTCTACACCACCAAATGCAGCACATGCGCCAGGCTAGGGATGTGCGTCAAACCGGCTAGGCCCAGAGCTGCTACGAGATTTCGCCTATTATCACACACCACCAGGCCGGGCTTGAGGCTCAGGGGCAACAACCACTCATCGGTCTGTTCCATGCCGGTCCACAGCTCCTGCGCGGTGTGTGGTTTTTCCCCCAAACATATGAGTTTTAAAACAGCCTGCTGTCGTTTCCCCCTGGCTGTGCTGAAGTTGGTGGTAAAGGTGTTACGCTGACCGGATGAGGAGGTGGTAGAGAAGGAGGAAGCGGAATAGGAGGAGGAGGCAACAGGAGGCAAAGCTGTGTACCCAAATAAAGATTGCCAAACGTTGTATCCTGGGGAAATGGGTCTGACCTATTCTAATCAAAGGGGATAACCATCGGTTACCCAGGTCCGCTTCAATTGGTGGCAAGCGGCGGGATCCCATGTCCCTGCCAACAGACCCATGGACTACAGTGCTCTAAAGCGACCTACACTGCAGGACTTGTGTGGAGCTAGAGGAATAATGCCTGGTGGGTGTAACAAGGCCAAAATAACTGCTGCGCTCATGGAGGACGACCAGGCACGCAGTGAGGCAACGAACCCCAGCCAGGGGTGGGAGATGAGGAGGAAGTGCGCAGGGAGGTGGACCGGCACCTGGCATATTACCGAGAGCCACCCTCAGAGGAGATTGTCAGCAGGACCTTTTTGGAGGTGCAAGCCTATGTCCTTGCCAATAGACAGAGGGCGACCTCCATGAACCCAGATGAAGGAAGAAGGGAGCAGAGGGCGCCAGGCAGCACAACCACCCTGGCCCACAAGCTACCATACATTCAAAGAGTTCAAGGAAGCAGAAGAAGGCATAGATGACTTTTTACAAGAATTTGAGTGCCAGTGCCTACTCCAAGACGTGGACCCCAGTGACTGGGTCACCATCCTGGCCAGAAAACTAGTGGGGAAGGCAGCGAATATTTACCGGGCTGTACCAGAAGAGCAGATCAGAGACTATCCCTTTATTACACAAATCCTCCTGGCCCGGTATGCGGTCACCCCTGAGCAATACCGCTGAAAGTTTAGGGAGACCCGGAAAGGGGAGAAGGACTCTCATGCGGAGTGGGCATGCCGCATCACAAGGGCCACCCAGAACTGGCTCAACTCCCATCAAGCCAAGTTCCCGGAGATCACCCAGCTCATCATGCTAGAGCACTTTTTCATGGGCTCCCCAATGACACGGGGTATTGGTATGAGCTGCTGAAGCTAGCTCACGATATCCCCTTGGCAGGGCATTTAGGCAGGAGCCGGACAGCGTCTCGGCTCACCCAATGCTTCTTCTGGCCAGGCATCTCTCAGGATCTGAGGCAGTACTGCCAGATGTCTGCCAGAGAGTGGGGAAGAGAAGGGACTGGCACAGGGCCCCCTCCATCCCCTACCTATTAGTGAGGATCCATTCGGCAGAGTAGCTGTCGACATTATAGGCCCCCTAGCCAAGCCTAGTCCCTCTGGGAAGAAGTACATTCTGACCATCGTGGACTACGCGACTCGGTACCCTGAGCAGTATTCGGGCAGAGACTGTGGCTAAAGCCTTGATGCGAGTGTTCTCCCGGATGGGTTTTCCCGAGGAGATTCTCTCAGACCAGGGCACCCAGTTTACTGCCGAAACGACCCATCAACTGTGGAGATTGTGCACATTAAACCAATCCTGAGCTCCCCTTACCACCCCCAGACCAATGGCCTGTGTGAGCGCTTCAACGGTAAGTTGAAGCAAATGCTCCGTACCTTTGCGGCAACTCACAAGGATTGAGAGAGATTCCTGCCCCATCTCCTGTTTGCCTATCGGGAGGTGCCACAGGAATCGACTGGGTTCTCCTCATTCGAACTGCCACGCCAGGGAACTCCTTGGTGCTGGCTTTGGTGTGCTCGGTCCCTGGGTGCGGTGGGCAGTAGCAGGCGTTCTTTCTAGGGGATGGCTGCTCCGATTTTGCATCCTGCTCTAGGAGGAAGAGGTGGATGTGGAGTAGGAGGTTGAGGAGACTGTGACCGTGGCTGCGACGACGCATTCGGATGTCTGCCCTATCAACTTTCAATGTTACTTTCTGTGCCTACCATGGTGACCATGGGTAACAGGGAATCAGGGTTCGATTCCGGAGAGGGAGCCTGAGAAACGGCTACCACATCAAAGGAAGGCAGCAGGCGGGCAAATTATCCACTCTCGACGCGGGGAGGTAGTGACGATAAATAACAATACAGGACTCTTTCCAGGCCCTGTAATTGGAATGAGTCCACTTTAAATCCTTTAACGAGGATCTATTGGAGGGCAAGTCTGGTGCAGAGTGACTGACCCGTGCGTGCTGCATCTGAAACTCCACTATCGCCTGCTGCTGCTCGCACAGTCTCTCCAGCATGTGCAAGGTGGAGTTCCACCTTGTGGGCACGTCGCATATGAGGCGGCGAGTAGCAGCAGAGTGAGAACGCCGAAAGCGCGCACAGCCGCTACAGTGAAACCGCGAATGGTTCATTAAATAAGTTATGGTTTCTTTGATCGCTCCATCTGTTACTTGGATAACTGTGGTAAATCTAGAGCTAATACATGCCGATGAGCGCTAGGGGACGGCCGCTCTGCTTTTGCACCCTGCCCCCTCTTATGCTGTGCTGGTGCCTCTGTGGTGCCTCTTCCTCGAAACTGCACAGGTCACTCGCATGACCTTCATTCCATGTGGGGTCTAGGACCTCATCATCCTCCACATCATCTTCCACCCACTCCTCAACCCTGCCCTCCTTGCCGGTCTGCACACTTCAGAAAGCCACAGCAGTTGGCACCTGTATTTTTCCAGCATGTAAAGTCTGCAAAGGACATATGGAAATTGTTTTAGAATTGCATCCAGGCAACAGTTTTCCGTATAAACTGACCTCTCAGTTTGACTTATGAGGGTATTGCCCCAGAATTACAATATTGTTTAAGTACCTCTTAGCTATTCATAACTGTTTTAAATATAGCAGCTTGTTATCTGGTAGTTTCTAGTGTAGAAAATATCAATCTGTTTTCTATCACTAAGATCTGTTTAAAGCGGCACTGTCATGCCGAACTTACCTTTCCTCAATCTCTTCCTCTTCTCCCCCTCTCTCAGGATCTGTTATTCTTTTCTTCCTGTCTTCATTAGTTTTCTTTAAAATCATAAGACAAAGTAGGGACTCTTTGCCTTATGGAGGATTCCTCCGCTTGACCAGCTCTGACCAGCGGAGGAGCAAAGTGTGCTTCATTTCAGCTGGTCAGAGCAATTTTCCCATGATCCCTAGCTTTCCTCAGTGTTCCCACAATGCTTCCTGTCACTTTCCACAAAACTGCCGAATTGCGTTCTAACTGAATGACAACAGTCTGTTCGTTTCTTTTAGAACGCAATTCGGCACTTTATTCGGATCAGAATTTCATTCTAATGAATGAAACTCCAATCCTATTCATTGCTGTGGCTGCATCTTGCAGCCGCTTAGTAGATAACTCCCTAATTCCCACGGTATCAGGGAGCTATCTACTAAAAGGCTGAAAGACCTAAATTGGTCTTTCAGCCAACTTTACTAATACCAAGTAAAAATTACTAAGTATTAGTAAGTAATATGCCCCTACTCGCTATACTGCGAGTAGGGGCATGTCTGGTAAACAGTGAGCAGCCCGTGGCTGCTCACTGTAAAAAAAACTATTGGCCCCCACCCCTAAACGACGGGTGGGGGCCCTAAAATAAAATAAGGGGGGGGAGACCAAATGACCTACTGCCCCCCCCCGGCCCCCACCCCTGGGCGGCGGGTGGGGGCCATAAGGAGAATGGGGGGGACCTATTGCCCCCCCCCGGCCCCCACCCCTGGGCGCAAGGGTGGGGCCATAAGTGAGAATAAGTGGGGTGTGGACCTACTGCCTCTCGGCCCCCTGCACCCTGGGCCATGGTGGGGTATTAATGAGGGGGGGACCTACTGCTCCGCCCCCACCCTGGGCGCGGTGGGGCCATAGTGAGAATTAGGGGGACTCACTGCCCCACCCCCTGGGCGGCGGGTGGGGGCTATGTGAGAAATATTAGGGGACTCAGTCTGCGCTTGAGCCCTCCACATGGGTGAAGATGGATTATTTTTTATACTGGTTTTTTCGTCGGGTTTTTTGCCGATTTTTATTTTATTTCTTCAAATCTCGGACGGGTTATGATGGTTTTTTATTTGGCCTTTTTTGGGGCTGAAAAATGAAGATTTGAGAAAAAAGAAGACGCCGAATGGTAAGTTTAATTTTATTTTACAGGTTAGTTATTTTATTCCCCCCTCACTATTTTTTAGGGTGAGGGGGGTAGGTAGGGACTTTTTTTTTGGGTGGGGGTGGGTGACTAGGGGCTTGGGGACCCCTGGTCACCTTGCACTCACCTAGGGCCCCCACCACGCCTAGGTATCGGGGAGTGGCTGTGCAGGTCCCCCTCCTTATATTCCTGCACCCAGGGTGGGGTCGGGGCAAGGTCCCCCCATTCCTCACATGGCCCCCACCCGCCACCAGGGCAGAAGGCCTCCATTCTCATTATGGCCCCCACCAGGGTGGGGGCCGGGGGCGGGAGTAGGTCCCCCCCATTCTCCTTATGGCCCCACCCCCAGGGTAGCCGGGGCAGCAGGTCCCCCCATCTCATTGTGGCGGCCCCCACCTTCCAGGGGGCAGTAGGTCCCCCCCCTAATTCTCACTATGGCCCCCACCCGCCGCCCAGGGGTGGGGGCCGGGGCAGTAGGTCCCCCCCCCATTCTCATTATGGCCCCCACCCGCCGCCCAGGGGTGGGGGCCGGGGGGGGGGGCAGTAGGTCCCCCCCCATTCTCATTATGGCCCCCACCCGCCGCCCAGGAGTGGGGGGAGTACTGCCCCCCCCCTCATTCTCACTGTTTAGGGGTAGGGGCCAATAGTTCTTTTTTTTTGTTTTTTGTTTTTACAGTGAGCAGCCACAGGCTGCTCACTGTTTAGTGGACATGCCCCTACTCGCGGTATAGCGAGTAGGGGCATTTGGGAGATTTTTATCT